AAATAACTCCAGGTGAAGCAAAGATTTAACTCTTAAAACAGCATTAAACAGAAAGACAGAGGATTTAAGTAAACTTGTAAAGTGAAATAAGTCAGACAAAAACAAATACTGTATGGTATCTCCTATATGTGGGACCCCTCCGCCAAATAAATAAATAGTCAAGATCACAGATACAGAGAACACATTGGTGGTTCCATAGGAGGGGTGTGGGGGAAGGAAGAAGTGGGTGAAGAGGGTTAAAAGGTAAAAAAAATTAAAAAGAATAATCTTAGATAGTGGAGGTCTTCCTAACTAAAACACAAACCAAGAGAGAAAAAATTTCTAAAACTAACTACATTAAAATATATATTTTTTCACATGGGAAAACTGCCATAAACAAAGTAAAATGAAAATGACTAAGAAATATTTTCACTATATGACATACAAAGAGTTAAGGTCCTTAGTATAAAGAACTCTTATAAATCAGTAAGAACAAGACCAGTCAACCAACAGACAAATGGGCAAAAGACATGAATTGAAAGTTCACAAGAAAAAGAGGATTTTAATACGTGAAAAAAATGCTTAAAAAGGTAAACATGTAAGTGTAACTACAACAGAATACAAGTTTTCATCTGTGAGATTGGCAAAGATAAAAATAGATACCCTCTTAGCAAGGATGAGGGAGGGGGCAGCGATACATTGGGTAAGTTGGCTAAAAAGTCTCTTCGGGGAAAAATTGGGCACTATCTATATGAATTTAAAATACAAATACCCTTTGACTTGGCAATTCTGTTTCTAAAGTTTTGCATGTATGGGCAAATACGTATATCCAAGGACATTAATTTCAGCACTGTTTATGAAAGCAAAAGACTGAAAATAATACAAATGTCTTTCAATAGGGGACTTTCTTAGAAAACTATATCCATCAATGGAAAATACGAAGAAAGTATAAAGAATGAACCAGACACGTATGGTTGGATCTGGTCCAATCTCCTACGTAAAAAACAAAGTAAAAAAACCAACCAACAAACAAAAACCAGCTTGTAAAACACACTATATACTGTGTTTTTAAATAATGAATGTTCCAAAGCATGTATCTGCTCGTTTCTGCATGGCCTCTCTCTCGGAGCAAATACAAGTGCGTGCCCACGGTGGGCGCCTCTGCGTGGCCAAAGGAAGACACAGGGGGTTAAAGTGAAAGGGAGGCTCTGAACTTTTCATTGTCTGCCCTTCAGCATTGCTCGATTTTTTTCCCCACTGTGTGTATTTCTTGAAATGTATTACATGAAAATTACATATTAAATTGAATCCTGATCCCTTACCTAACTAATTAGTTGTTAAAAGTTAGAACAATAACCTGGAAATTCTAAGACCGGCTTCCTGGCCTGGGCTCTACCAACAACTTGCTACCCAGCAGGTGCTGGAAGGTATCTTCTTAGTGTTTCGTGTTCTGCAGTAGTAAGTTAGGTCTTTGACACCGTCTTTCTGTGAATTATATATTACCATACCAGTCAATAACCAGCAGGCAGTATTATTTCAATATCTGTGGAGACACCTCAATGATTTACTTAGTGTGTAAACATACACATCTATCTGGAGCAGTTTTCTATCAAAATGATGCTTACTATGTTTAGCAAATCTTAAACCATGGCTCTGTTTACGCTTCTTTCCTCAGTTAATTTTTGGGTATGTTTCTAAAAAAGTTTTTTAAAATATGAAAAATCTCTACTAGAACATCACTACCCCATTAAAAACAGAAGTGCCAGCAGAGGTGTGATCCGTAAGCCTGCCTGACTGCCCGCGACGCAGCCGTACAGTCTCCGCAGCCACAGATTCCACACACAGGAAGGCCAGGCACAGGAAGGCTGGCGCACGCAGGCCGGCCCACGCTCCTGGGCTGGCCGGCCAGGCTGTGGCCCTCCCGGCTGCTGGGATGCGACCCCATGCCTGTCCACAGGTGCTGCCTCTGTACCGTCAGGGAAATGCAGACTGCAAACAGGCATGGTGGAGGGCGCACTTCCTCATGCCCCTGCTGGTTTTTCTGGAAGGCTTGCTAAGAAATCGCCTTTGTGAGAATCTTTTAACCTCAGGGTCTGCTTCTAAGGAACCCAAGCTGAGATGATGTGTTTTTCTTTTATGCAAAGTAGCTCATCATAATTAGCAGACAGGGGACTGATATCAGTATAACATGTGAGTTGAGTTGGTTCATAAGGGTTTGTTCCCAGCATACTAATGTTCTAAAAAGTGATCAGGGTCCAGCTTTCTTATAATGGAAGAGAAAGCTTTAGCAAACCATAAACACATCAGCAAAAAAAAAGGAATACACTTCCAATGATATAAAAATGTACACGCACAAATTTACTCACTGAGGCACTGTTAGTAATTGCAAAATATTGGGAATAACTTGGATACCTATACATAAGAGGGGTTGAATAAACTATGGTACATCCATATAATGGAGTACTATGCAGCTATGACAAAGCATGAGAATGAACTCTATGAACTGACATAGAGTGATTTACAGGGCATACTGCTAAGTGAAAAAAAAAAAAAGTAAAACCTAAAAGAGTATTTCCACCATGCTACCCTTCATGCAAGAAAAAGGGGGATATAAGAAAATACATATCTGCTCATTTGTGCAAAAGAAATATAACAAAGTTAAGCCAGAAACTAAAGAGACTGACTAGCTACAGGGGGTGAGTGGGAAAAGGACTGAAGTAAGTGGGAAGGGGGATTGGAACAGGGGAGCAGAATAAAGATGGAGGGAGCATCTCTCTCTCACAGTTCTGACTGCCAGCATCACAGTAATGTTTTGCAAACCCTATATACACACCCCAAATAACAGAATATGGCGGGGGGAACCCGACAAAGCAATGAGAACACTGACAAATGAGCCTGACTGCACTTCAAATGAATGACATAACCACATGGACAGGAGTGAAGAAGAAAATACCCAAACTAAGTAACCTTGAAAAACAGTGTCTTGACTGGGTGCTGCACGGCTAAGAAGGACAGAACGAGCTGAGCGGTACACAAAAGCTGTGCTCGGGTTCGGGAAGCTGCTTCTCATGGCAGGGCCGGCAACTCTGAAACTGCTGTGTGTGTATTGGAGGTAATGAGATCTGCGTGTCTCACTGTTGGGGAAAGCAGTTACAGATGGGGAAAGGGGGAAAGGTAAATGAACCCTGTGGTGTAGAATTGAAATTAGAGACATCAGTTCACACTCACGGTTTTAAAATACAAAACAAATACAGATAGCTATACACAGAAACATATACATGTGTATATGCATAGGTTATAGTATATACATGCATTTCCAAGTCTTGTCAGCTGAGAGGACCTAGAAGCAAGGACATTCCAGTGGCAATGAGCACATCTAGCACCAACTGTTTGGGTTCTAAACATCATTCTCCAACCAAAGGAAGCAGGGCTCCTTGGAGAAGTGGTTGGTTCTAGGACTGGGGTGAGAAACTCAAAGATGAGCCTGGAACATTTTGTGGTGCCAGAAAGGTAGGAAGTGCTCAAAAAAAAAAAAAAAAAAGGGGACTTGTTGTAGGAAGACAGGAGCTATTCTGAAGGAGATTCTGTTGGCCAAAGCTGGATCAATTAAGCAATAAATTTAATAATAATAGTATTGGATTTTAACCCATAATGATCTTAAATTCCATACTGATACAAAAAAATATTTGAAAAGATGAATGTGGAAAGGACAGTTCTTCCTTGCAGTAGAATTCCAATTAATAAATGCAGAAGAAAAGAGGGAAACAGAAAGTCACCATTAGGCAAATGCCACAGTACTAACTGCTGCAGGCAAACATACCCACGGACGACCAAATTAGAGAGCAAAGTTTAGGGAGAGACGGGATTCGCACTGCCTCAAAATAACACCCCCCAGAAATTATCCATTCACGATGTGATGATAGTAACTTCACGGTGGAGAAACATGGCAGCCGCACCACCTCAGCCACACGATCAAGGGTAGTACCACCCATCAGCAGACAGGGAGGCACGAAGCCCTCGATGCGACACGCTGGGAAGGACGCACTGCTCTCGTGTTATTTTGCCAAGAACGCGTAGTTCATTCCAATCACGAGAAAATGCTGGACAAACCCAAACTGAGAGAAAGTGTACAAAATAACAGAGCAGTGTTCACTGAAAGTGTCACGGTCACGAAGGCCAAGAAAGACTGAGGAACTGTGGTGACTGGAGGAGACCAAGAAGTAACAACTAAACCCAACTTGGGATCCCTGGCAGGATCCTAGAACAGAGAAAGGATATCAGGGGAAAAACGGAGGAAAATCAAGGAAGGCCTGCAGCTTTATTAACAGTACTGTATCAATGTTAACTTTGTATTGTTGCTAATTAATTGTACTATGGTTATGTAAGGTGTTAACATTAGGGGAAGTTGGGTAAAGAGTATATGTGAATATACTCTGTGCTGTTATGCAACTTTTCTGTAAGTACAGAATTATCTAAAAATAAAAAATTAAAAGGCCCCAGATTCTACAATAGCACTTTTCTTTAGCACAGATGTAGCTGCTTTAGCTGCTTTCAGAACCACTACATGGCGGGCTATTTAAGGCAACCGGAGGGGCAGGCTCTGCTCTGCCTGGGTGAGGGCCACTTACGTGCACATCTCTACGGAAAAACAGCCAGACTTAATAGCAGGCCTGCACACTCCCACCCTGTGTTCGCTTTCAGCCCTCCTCAATAAGGCGATGCATATAGGCACTGGTGTTTTGTTTTTTTTTTAATATCATGGGCAGAATGGGCTTCACATAATTAATGGGTCCACACTAGGCTGTAACTCTGGTGGAACTAGCCTCGTGTGAAAATTCACCATTGCAGAATGTTAAGATACAACAAATGCAGAAGTTTCAGGACTATGGGTACCTGGCCTATCATTCATGCTCAAGAATAAACAGAAACGGAGAAGTTAGAATCTCAAAGCAACCATTGTTCTGTTCGTCCCAATTCATTAAACCTAACCACTGTCCTCTTCTAAAGGGCCACTTCCTTACTTGGAGTACGCTGGAGAGACCCAGTACGGGTTGTCTGCGGCGGCTTTGGCGTGACGCAGAATGGCCTCCCGGGGGTTGCTGTCATCGGTCTTATCCAAGGCGATGTTCTTCACGATGTATGACGACAGAGTGCCCCCATGGGTGCCAACCCGGCCGCCCCGACCTGTTTCAGAGGAAAACACCCAAGTCAGATACATAATGAGCATGATAATACGTAAGTATACCCTGTGTTCACTCTACGTATCTGACGAGGTTGAGCATCCCTCAGGGCTGGTTTCCAAGGCAGCCCATTAAATGAATGACAGAGTGGGGTCAGAGCCTCAGGTCTACCCGATTTTTGTTATTCCCTGCAAAATCAAGATCTTGAGCGTGCAGGGGGCTCTTCAGACCTGTCTGAAGCACGCAAACCTCAAGAGTGCTTGAGTGATCGTACTTACGATCACCACCACCAAAGTAGGAAATCGCTAAACCTCCACTTCCCTGTAACATTTTTAAATCAAAAGGGACATTTTCGTTATGTCTTTGTTGTTTAACTTACATAATGATGCCAATGTAGAAAGAATTATGGGTAGTTTGCGATGTATATACCTTTAAAAAAATTCCTCAGGCCCGCCCATCTAAAGTTCAATGAAAAAAAATAACCAATATATTTGTTAGATGCGATTTTAGTTTTAAACAAACATATCTTGGGGCTTCCCATCTTCCAAGCACCTTGTTGGAGAGAAGACGAATGAGCTGAACACACTGACCCGCATCACTGTACGGCACTGCAGTCCCCTGCAGACAGGCAGCTTTGGGAGAGCAGGGCTTTATTCTCCCCTACGGCTGGTACTCAAAAATGTAAGGCTTTTTAGGAAGATTTTTTAAAAAACACCTGAAAAGCCAAATAGCACTAAAAGATTAATTTTATAAATGAAGACATGAAGAGACAAACAAGGCAGGAAATAATTAATTGCCAAAGGATTTATTTGGCTAGTAATGGTACCAGGAGAGACCTCTTCAGGCTGTGATGGTGGAGGGGGTCTTCAGGAAGAGATGAATCAACGCGGGAAAGCTCAGAAGAGGGAGAGGTTATTTACAGTGAGCAGAACGGTTTAGGTACAAATATAGAGAAAGGAAAATTCGATGGGCATTTGGGGGCAGGAGTGAACCAACGGTCACATGAGAAGGCCAGAGGGGGAGAGAAGTGAGGTGTGAAGCTCAGAAGTGGTGGGAGCCTGACTGCAGAGAACTCTGAGTCTCTGGAAATGCAACCGGACAGGAGCTCATGAAGATTCTGGGGCGGTAGCCATGTGACCGCTGGAGGGGCTGGGAATACGAGCTGTGTGCAAGACGCATGCGGACGAGGTGCGGAGAGAGCGGCTTGAGGTAAGGCGCCCAGTTAGGAGGGTTTTTCAATAATCCAGGGCAGAAGATTATTTTTGGAACTTTGGTTAGGACGGTGGCAGAGCAAGTTTTTTAAAAAAATGAGGCTGATACGGGGTATGTTTTCAATGCTGAAGGCACAGGCCAGACAGATGCACAGTAGGTGCAGAACTCGGGTTCACATGAAGGAACAAGTCAAAAGCCATAGGCTTGTGGGCCTGGGACAAAAGGATAAGGGCGAGCGGGGCCCTGGTAAAGGCAAGTGCTATGCCATCGCCAGTGCTGCTTTGCTGTCTTCCGGCACCGGCTTGGCTAAAAATCCTGAGGACTTCCATTCATCTTCCGGGGAAACGGCAGCTCCGTCTTACAACACGGAACTGCACGACGGCCATTTCCTGCCTCGCGTGACCCCCCCGCCCAGCCTGGGTTCTGCTCACAGCACGCATGTTGCATGTTAGGCCGACGCTGAGAGCAACGGCTTGAACAGTGGGTTCCCGGGGTCCCCGGGGCTCCCCCGAGGTCACCCACAGGGCTCAGGTCGGAGCAGACAGACGGAGCGGACAGGCCTCCAGGCTTCCTCTCCACTGCAGCGCCGCTGCTCCACTTCACCGGCTACGTGCACCAGAATCCTGCATCGTGTTTGTAAGCAGAAACCTCTGATGCTTAAAAGAAAATGTCTGAAAACACCTTTTTAGTAAAACCTCTCCGAAGACAAAGAAGCATCCAGGCCCAAAAGACTGTCCCACCCCTACCCCAACCTGTAGGTCACCGGCTCGATCACAGTCACCTGGGCCTGCCACAGGCGGCTCGGGCTTGTGAGACTTCACGGGGTCCAGTCTGTCCTTCTCCAGCTGCTTCCTGGTGCTGCGCTGGCGAGGCTCACGGAACATAGGCAAGGCATGGGCTGTGAGAAGTCACATTTGAAAAGTTTCACTAAATATAACCCTTCCATCCAAAAACATAGCTAAAGCATGACTAACTGAAAGATGCAATGGAAGTCTTAATCACAGCCTCCCTCTAATAATAAAAGACAGTCTTACTGTAACCAATTAGCCCATTCGATTTCAGACCAGACTCATTGTTCACCTCCCTGGGTGACCCGTGGCACTCAGGAAATAATGTCACCATGGTCACGAAAGCCCTGGAGCAGCTCCCCATCTCCCCACCCTGGGGAGCAGTTCGACTGAGTTTCTGTGGTTTTGAGGAGGAACGCCTGAAGGGACTGCCTCTCCTCTTTTCTCGTAGGACCCGAACGAACGTGACTAATGTGGACAGCTTGCCCGTCCGCCCGAGGCTTCCTCAGATGCCTCGTAAGCACTGGAATCACTTCACACATTTCTGAAATGTGACCACCTCTCAGGAGTTGACAGCACAGAGTGACCGGAAGGGAGGAGTACTTATCCCGCTGAAACTGGGATAAAGGTTGCCCCGAAGGCGCGGGGCTGCCTGAATCTCCTGACGTGGTCCCTTGATGGGGACTTATTCCCACTTCTATGTGGTGGACAAAACAAAACAGTAAAACCAAAGCAGCATTTGTCTGATGACTACTGTTTGTTTACTCGGTGGGCTAACTGCATTCCAGAATATAAGAGAGTATATGAATTTAAAAGGGAAACTGACATTCTGGGGGAGCAGGAGGAGATTGGGTGGGTAGGGGGAATTAAAGATCTCCTTTTTTGACCCCCAAAAGGGCCCGAGTAATTTCTTTGGATGCTTGCATGCAGACTAAAACTTCCTTTTGAATAGAAAGCTTTTTCCAGAGGACTGAGAGAGGCAAGTAAAGGAATAATAGGGATTTAAAAGGAACTTACAGTATGAATGGCAGAAATGCCTATACCACCTCAAACACGCTTCCAGCGTGCCCCTACCCTCCACGCCACTGGCCAGCCGGGCCAGCACTGTACCACGCACCGGCGCAACACGCCTGCCTTGAGTCAGGGGAGCTAAGGAACATAGCCACCCGTCACTCTGTCGGGCAACACGACACAACAGTATTTTTAGGAGGGGGAAAAATAGCTTTTCACTTCAAACGACTGGAGGAATGTAAGTAGGGCGCGTGTAATTACATGAGCTAGATGGGTTATGACACCGACTTTAACACTTCTACTCCTGCAAAAAGTGTCATGGGATCTCTTGACTGATCCTAAGTTCCAAGGGAGTTGGTCTTATAGGAGACCCAGCCTCAGGGAGAAAACCGAGCAGTAGAGCGCCCCCTGGGATTTGGACTGAGACACTGAGAGTGTTCCCAGGTGCATCCACTGAGGACGAATTCCTTTAGCATCCGAGATTTCCTTCCTAGCCACCACCTATGACTGGCTTGAGGCTGAGCCTCAGGGAAACAGAAATCTGACAGAGTAACGAACCCAGAGAAGCTGTTGTGTCCTGGTAAGATTTCTGATCATACCCCAGGTAGTTAATTTTATACCTAACTGTTGCTGGGTCTGTCTGGCACCTGGTCATGGGTTTTCAGCGGGAGCTGGCGACGACCCTTCACGTAGTGTCCTCCCCCTTCTGAGGAGTTCAGTTGTCCAGCCTCACACTGCAGTCAGCAACTGAGCTGGACACTGCCAGCTCCCCCCATTCCAAGGCCAGCACTCTTTCTTGTTTATTCTTAGGACAGATTGTTATTCTTTAAAAGGCTGCTATGGAGTAATGCATTAGGCTCAAACAGGCTTTTCCGTTTTGGGTTGAAAGTTACATGAAACAACTCTGTCTCTGTGATGAGTCACAGAAGCTGAAGGGGTTAGCGGTTACAGGGCCCACCGTCCCGTCCACATGAATGGGACATTTGGTGACATATGCCTGACTCCGAGGGCTTTTCCTGTCTCTAAAGCTTTGAAATCAACACCACACCAGCGCAGGAGGAAGATGTATGATAAAGGGGCCATGTTAGCAACTCACGGGTGATGATGTAGTCCTGGGTCAGAGTCTCAGCTTGCTTCGCCTTCCGCTGGGTTTTAACCACGCATAATTTTGCTCCCCTGAGGAGGGTACAAGCATATTATTTTCTTTACTTGGTTTTAGAACAGAAAGTCTGCACTGAAAGCATCAGATGCTTTCAGGACCGCATCCTGTGCATACATCCCACCGGCCCTGGGCTTTCTCAGGGCTGGCAACAGATGGAGCCCTGGGGGAGAGGAGGTCCCCGCACGGGAAGGCGAGCCTGCCAGTCCACGGCTACTACTTAGCAAAGGCTTACTCTAGAAGTAACTGGACAGCAGAAGGCTGGCTTAAAAAATTCATAGAAATCACTTAAAACTAAAATCTTAAGGAGCTATTAATAACATTGATCAACCTTTTCCCCCTAAAGGTCAGAGGGTTCAAATTTTCGCTGCTGTCCCAGATGAAAGCAACCTGGGTGGTCTAACCCCTAAGTGGCATCTGCCCACATCACAAGTACAAGAGCACAAGTGTCTGGAACTGGGCTGGCTTGGCAGTGTGGCCAAGGGGCTACAGCCCAGGAATGCGTGGGATTAACCACGAACTGTGCTTAGAATGTTTCGCTTCCCCCTAGCAACATCAGCTATCCTGCTAAGGAGAAGCAAAAGCAAATAAGCACATTTCTTGAAGATTCCAAAGACAGTGCTTTCTAAATGGGGGTTATCCAATGGGGTTCATGGTTTTCTCAAGTGGAACGGACTTACTCTCATCCTAATTATATTAGCATTTTCAATTTCTTTATTAAGTAACAAACAAAATCCTATTTGTTCTTAAATACCACAATATATGACTTTATTTTACAGGCCAAGGGTTCCAATCCTAGTCCCGAAAGTTCTGAGGGAAGACAGGACTGTCTGCTTCCTGTCAGAGCCAAACTATGGTTACTTAATATTCATTAATAAAGGCCGGGTTTCTTTCCCCCCTAAGCTGTGGGCCCTCAAAGCATGTTTATGGGGGATTGTAGTGAAATTAGCATGTGAATTTTAGTACCACTAACCAAGGCTTACTCTAGAGAAAGAAGAGTGCAAACCGCTGTGCCCCAGCAAAGAGAATTAATACCACCTCTTCCATGTCCCTCCATGTCCATCCTTGTGCCGAGGACAATGGGAAGAGCTGAGGGACCCGCTGGGCTCTGAGCACAGTTCTCTGAAACACGCAGAGCTGCTTACATCTGGCACCTGGGGTGGGCCTGGGGCTGGCAGAGGACAGTATTTGTGCTGTCCCTTCTGCTGGCAGAGAACCACCGGGCCAAACATCCAAACTGGTGTCTGATGAAAGGCCAGACAGAAAGGGAACAGAACAGACTAGCCAGTTCCATTTCCTGTGAGCGGCCAGTCCCCTGCTTTGTTAATCCCTGACATGCATCGCCGCTCATGCCGCTGTCCAGGGTGGTATGCAAAGTGGGCAGCCCCCCTGCCCACCTCCACACTCAACATTTCAGCTAAAGAACTGCAAATCCCCAGGAAACTTTCACTTTGAATTCTGCATGGATCAAGGGTGACATCCAAATCCTCTTTAAAGCACAATACTGAAAGTTTGAGGCTTTACTCTGTGCCAGCTGCATTTTCTAAGAGGGTGGATCCCCATCAAAGGAGGAAATAAATAAGAGCAGGGTGAAATAAAAGGCCCTGCCCCCAGTTGCTGTCGTCCATCTGAAAGCGGCGGTACTTCTGAATACCTCTGACTCTTGTTGGGGTCGTAATAGACTTTGGCCAGTCCATTTCCAGTTCCCACCATGATCTGGTTCAGCTTTGGGTGCCACAGGCAGCGGACCACGCTCTGGGAAGGAAAGGCATGGCAGTAAGCAACAGAGGCCAAACACAAACTCAAAAAAGCCCACTGGTGCACCGATGGCTAGTTCACTAAACTGAATGCCAACCAAATGGTTACTCCACCTTACAGGACATTTTCTTCTAAACCACAAGGTCCTATTCCTGAGGTGAAGTTCCATGCATCACTTATTTGTGTGACGCCTATAAAAATGACAACGATGCTCCCCTCCTAACCTCCTTCTCCTGTGCCCCTGACAGCCGCGCCCCACTCCCCTGCCTCGCGAGACTGGCATCCTGCGGTGCTGGTCACACGGAACTCAGCTCTGCTGCCCCGAGGCAGGCTCAGACCTCGGGGTCTCATGCTTTCACACACACGACGTGTCCCTCTGGAGAGCAGATTGAGGCTGGGTGGTTACTGTTTTCAGTTTCCAAAGACCCAAACCTCATAAAGCTTTCTCAGGCACAGCACACATTTGCAGGCATTGAAAAATCCCTCCCTGTCTATGAGATAAACCAACAGGACAATAGCAGAAGTGAAACAGAAATGCAGAACACAGAGACTGGACAGGAACCTAGATGAAAAGCTGTTGAAGAGGAGGTTCCAGGGAGTTCCGACCCTTTGAACTCATTCCTTGTGGGGGAAGCGAGTGGTGCTCCGGGGCCGCCAAGAACCACGCGTTCCCAGCGGAGCTGCAACCTGTTCTCAACTTTTGTCTGCAGTGCGAGGGCAGAGGCAGGAGGGGCGGCAGGGGCAGAATTACAGGGAAGAAGATGAAGCCCAAGTGGCCAGGAATAAACACCGCATGCTAGGTCTGCAGATCTCGCTGTGGTGGGGCCAGAATGTGTGGGAACACCCCTTCAACATTGATTAACAACCTATCATGCACCAAGCGATGATAGAGGGTATAATTAGGTGCTGCCATTTTACCTCTGACAGTGACAGGAAACTCAAGGAACTTCTGTCTCCTAGATCTGGCTCGGGCTGGACTTCTGTGGTCTCCTCTCCCTAACCATCCTGCTCTTTTGTTAAGACAGACTATCTGGGAATCTCTAAGATCCATTTGGACAGAAATTCTGGTAACCACTTGACTGGCTAAAAAATATGCCTAGAGTTAATTGGCCGCCAAGCCTTTCCTGAGATTCCTGAGGCACTAGAGAGGGGACAGAAAGGCGCCCACAGGACTCCTGAGTCCTGTCCAGCACTGCCATCAGAGACGGCTGAGCGGTTCTTTCGGAGAAATCAAATCAGAATGGCTATGTTTTCCCTGTTGGTATGAGAGAAATTAAGCTAAAAGGGTAGATTTTCAAAATTTAGGTTTTCTTTCCACAGTTTTCTTAAATCTATGGTGCCTGCATAGGTACTTAAAGGTAAATATATGTATTTAAATGTATATTTATATATATTTACACACACAATAGTGACTATTAACAGAAAAACGTGAAAAGTCCTAAATCATAAAATCATATACAGTTTGACTTTGGGGGGAGGGTTGTCCTTGTTTTGCACACAGCTTGTACATTTCTCCTACTAAAACTGCACCTGGTTGGTGAGATGGAATGAAACACATCAGTAGCTCGGGGTCTGCTAGGCACGGCCTGCGCGGCAGGCGCTCCGCCACTGAGACTGACTGGAGAGCCGTTCCTGGACCACCGGGGCCTCCAGGCAGACACGGCCCGGCACATGGGAACATGGGAAGAGTCACAGGCGTAACTCCGTAACCCCTCCCCACAGGGCGTTCGTCCGAATCAACACACATCTCCTTCCAGTCTTTGCTACAAACCTGAACCCTGTAACTCCCCTTACTCTGCTTTTTCTTTTTTCATAGCATGTCTTCACCTTTTAACATAAGATGTGATTTACTGTTAATTATGCTCATCGCCCTGCCTTCCGCACTACAACGTATGTTCCACGCAGGCCAAGACCTTGGCCTGTGTTGCGTGGCAATGTATCCCAAGTACCTAGATTAGTATCTGGTGCTCAATAAACTTTTGCTGAAGAGATGAATTAGAAGGTACAGTTCACCCACGCCTACATGGATCGCTTCACTAAGCGACTTGGAGATGGTTTTCAAGTTAAAATATTACTACCTACGAGGAATGATTTTATTTCTCCAGACCATAATTATACTCAAGCACCCGACAGATGCAGTCGGTCAGTTCTCTCCTTACGTGGTCCTAAAAAGAGGAATGTGCCTGAACCAGAGAGCAAGAGAAGACAGTGAGAGGGGCTTTCAAGAGCCGTCGGAAATCTCAGCCACTCATAAGTAGCCCTGGGACAATCTTAAGGACATCGTACCACAGTTATTCCTCTTGCTTGGTTCTCTAGAAGTCTGGCTGAGCAGTCTAAGATTACTGGTTCTCAAATATGTTTTCAAGTGAGCAGGGTGCAGAATTGGAAAAGATCCACAGTGTAGGCTGGTAAATTCCAAGACACCCAGCCAAACAGGCCGTTTCCAGGGGCAGCAGGTCACTGTTACTCTCTCCCTCTACGCTGAGGGTGTAAATGTTAGAGAGAGGTGACTGCCCAGGCAGACAGACCCATGTCCGATTGCTTTCCAGGGAAGCTGAGTGTGGGCAGCGCACCTCTATTCCTGTTCACAACCTTTACCCTCGGGGCTCTTAGACGCACGCCTGGCTGGTCGGCGTAAGCTCTTATGGAGAAGCGCATTTGCCCTCCTTTTCACACGGAAGCCAGGAGAAGGCTAACAAGACCCCTTGCACTGAACAGCCACCTCAGAGCTGCATCTGTACACTGTGGCACTGAGTCACCAATGCAGCCGATGCGGCTCTGTGAGCAGTCGGGCTTAGGCCAAGGGTACTTAAGGCTCAATTACCCTAAGGCTGGTTATTAATCAAATACTTCAGGGATTCCAGAACATGGAAAGAAGAAACAGAATTCAAAGTCAAAGGTGGGTGGGCCATTTTTGTTTATTAATATTTATTGTGTGTGTTTAGCTAACCTTCATAAACTCTGCAGCTAATGCAGCTCCGCACTCTGCCTTGTCAAGGAAATGCATCTTACAGCGGAGAGCTGGCCACCTGCCAAAGCAAACAATCCCCGAGACGGCGGCGAGGCTGGGGAGCAAGCAGAGCTGCCACGCTGCTAACTTGTCAAACATACATCCCAGGCTTTACTTTACAACAATGGGACACGTGCCTGCTAGAAGTCCAGGGAACCAGGAGAAGACAGATGAGGCTACAACTACTTGAAGGAGTGCACTCACTCCATCAACCACCCACCCAACTCCCTCCACCCTCTGCTCTTGAAGAGGTGCTTCTGCGGCTGGGGGCCGGACACATTCCGACCCACAGACTTAGCGAACCATGCAGCAAATGAAGAAAACACATCTGAACTTAAAGGACCAAAGAAGAATGTTGTGAGGTCTATGAGAATTGAAGCAAAAGCCTTCACATTGTATCACATGTTCCAAATGGCAGCAGATCACTGTAGAGCAAAGCACTAGATCCTGAAATTAGTCTGCATTATCTTAATGCACCGATTTGCTTAAGTAAACTGATAAAGCATTTTCTTCTTACACTTATCTCTTTCACCTTACCAAAACCCGTGGGAAGGCTGTTGGCTTTCCTTAGCTGCCTAAGCTAAACTACATTTTAGCATAAAATTAGTTTAGTCTTTTAAACCCGAAACAACTCTCATTTCAGCACTCTAAGTTGGCCACGCAGGGCAACCCGAATCGGCCCCAGATCCCGGGCTCTCGCAGCAGCCACGAGGGGACGATAACCGGGGCTGGCGGTCATGGGCAAGGTGACAAGAAGGAGTTACGAGACTTTGTGCTCAAGTCAGAGACCTTTCTTCTCCACAGAGACCAAAGAAAGGAGGGGGGTTAGAAGCGAGCACTGAGCACGAACGGCAGTGTCAAAACTCCAAAACGGGAATTCTGGAATTACCCCTGAGCAAAAGTGAAAAGGCCACAGAAAGCCCCAAGTAATTTATTTCTGTGGCTTGGGGGTTTACTTTAAGTGAAATCATGGAAACAAATAAGGAAAGGAAAAGGAAACCGATGAAAGAAAGAAATTTATAATATAGGACTTGGCGGGAAGGGGGCTGTTAGGTATCTGGAATGTTGTTATTTGAAGTAATTGAATCCTCACAACAATACTACAAAATTAGTAACCTTACTTCCACTTCACAAGAAAAGCCTGGGTTGCAGGGAGTAGGCAGCCTTCCCAAGGCCACGGCCCTGCACCCAGAGCAGCTGGGGGGAGCGGGGAGGCTTCTCCAACTTTCAGGCCCCTTCTCTTATACGACCTAATTACATCAAGTCCTACTTCAGAAGATGGGGACGAACAGACGTCGGAGGTTTCCTATGATTTCCAAAATGACCTAACCCAGGCGTAGAAATCTTAGCAAGTTTATATTAAAAAGCAGATGGTATTACTAAAATCATCAAGGCAAAAGCCCACTACTACCCAGTTCACAAATGTTACTATAAAAGAAATCAATGTCTGCGTAACATCTTAGGCGTCTGTAATGCACATATCCAAACACCACCCCGATTCCACTTCACAGGCTAAGAGAAGTCCAACACCCTTCGTAATTTTATATCTGAAACACGATTATGATGAAACACCATTTCCTGATCCTTCCCAGATGCTGACCCACAGTGTAAACCAAACTGCATCTGGTTTTTTCCTGTTTTGTTTTTGTCATTAAGTCCAAAGATGGATACACTAACTCAGTGGTTCCTGGGGAGAACAAGCGTTTTCCAGCACTTTCAAATACAGAGCCTCGCACCTGTCGGTGAAGGAGGCTGTCATGCCGTCCTGCGGGCTTGTCCGGAGGCAGCCTCGCAGGCAGGGACAGCCCGGCCCATTGCATGGTCATGTGCCAGTGTGTTGATCCCCGAGGCTAGGAACACAGACCAAGATGTGAGTCCAAAACAAAGGAAAAGAAGTCAGAGGAAAATGGAAAAGTATTGGAGAAAGAGCTTCAGGTTTTCAAAGTTTTATTTCACACAGAAAGAAAACCGCTTTCCACATGAAAAT